GTCCAAAAAATAAAAAGTGTTTGCTCTTTCGATGTCTCTCGCTCATGTGCTGTTCCAACGAGTAGTGTGTCCGTTTCACAAAGTGCATTCAGAAAATTTATAATCTAAGCTTAAGCTTTAAGCCTGTTTCTAATTGGGCTAGACTTGAAAGAGCCATTATGGATTTGTTTCTTTGGACCAAGTGTAGAGCTATTTTCACGACACGTGTCTTCAATGCATAGGATACCCACACGTGATTGTATCATATGGTCGAATGCACCCGATCTTTGACTTATAGTAAGACACGTGCTCTAGTCAAAGCCATATGGGACACTGGTCGATTCACTGTTCGTCTTGTTAAGCAGATTACTCAATCCTACGGTTGTGGCTTAACTATTTTGATTACTTGTTACTGTAATTATCAGTAGTATTAGATTATACGTTTCGACAAAATTAATACAAGAAAGTTGACCGGCATAAGCGGAACTAGTGGGTCCCATTGTCGTCGCAATGCCCCCGCAAAATCTGTGGTTCAAAAGCAGCAGTTGCTCCATTTAATCATTTATTTAGGTATCCTAAATCAAAGTAAGTACTTCATTACGAATTTATAATATTAATTTTGATCACTAATCGGTCATCTTGGATTATGATGCTTCGCCTAGAAATATACCGATTAATTTCGATTATTATGTTATGTTATTTTTTCTTTTTAAAAGATATCAAAAGAGTGAAGCAAATAAATATATTTTTTTTTTTGTTAAGAGGGGAGACAAAATGGTGATAGTGCTACGGGGCAGTGACGAATGAAGGAAAAGAAAGGAAGCGCGGGTGATGATGGATTAGGTGACAGGCATGTCAATTTTGAAACTGCAAATCCTGATTTTGATTTCTTTGTTTCCCTTTCGCACTAAACGTGACCCCTCATTTAATTACCTGAAACGATAATAATTCAACATATCAAAATCCTTATTTCTTATTACTACTAGTATTTTTACATTTTTTATTGTTGAAAACTAGATTGCGTGAAAAGAGAAACGGATACATAAAAACAAAACGCTTGAAAACGTGGAAATAATTTTTTTTTTTTAAATTTAGGAAATGGGTACGTTTTGGAAACGCGCACACACCATTTTGAACACAATTTATGAATCAACAACATCAAAAACAATATTTAAAACAATTTGAACAACACAAATTATATACATGAATATTAAATAACTTAACAAAAGCAAAAACTATAATAATTTTGTTGTTTTTAACCTATATACAAACGCAATCTTTTATACGTAAAAAACAATTTTTCATCGCATTTCTAAAAAGAAATCGAACATTTCCATCGTATTTTCAATTTGAGATTTCTAGGAAACGAGTTTACGTCGCGTTTCCAAAACAGAATAAAGTTTTTATCAAGTTTCCAAATTAAAATATTTTAGGAAACGCGTTTCCAAATTAAAATTTATTAGGAAACGCGTTTCTAGGGAGTTTTCAAGAGTTTCGGTTTCCGAAATATTTTCGAAACGGGAAATGTTTCTCGGACGGAGTTTTCATGCAACCTAGGTTGAAAATAGTAGTGTTTTAAATGTTTTTTTTTGTTATAAAACCGATATACTCCTCAAAAGTTCTTTAATGATTTTTTTCGAAAAAACATTCTATTGAAAATTATTTAGATGTGTTTACACGCATTATTCGTTGCTCTCAATTTCACATTGATTGTGTTCTTAGATTTTTGTTTCTCATGCAATCAATTGCCTCGTTAATTTTTCTTTTTGTAAATATGTCATCTACTATTACTATAGTGGATTTTACATGC